TGCGATTGATGCACCCAGGCTTAGCTTGTCAAGTGCACGGGATGTGCAAAGTACACGGATTTTAGGCTTGTTGCGCGCTTACGCGATCAGGTGCTGCACGTGCATGAATGGAATGCATGCAGTTCCACTGTTATTGCATTTTTAAATAGCATTCTGTCGGAGAAAATTTTCGGATGAAGAAAAGGAACTCTGACACCTTTGTGCATAGTTTGCTTTCAATTTTTCATTTTGATACCCAGATATGGCAGCAAGAAATAGTACACCAGCCATAGCTTCTCGTTTTGCGAACCCACCTGTCGGCGAAACGATTGCTAGATGGACTTTTGCTCAGCTGAAGACGTACATGTACGTGAGGGAGAGATACCGGTAGATGGAAAGCGAGATGATTAAATTTTGTTGCAGAGGTAAGACCGACAGATATTATTTTATTCCCAACGCCCCAGAGCTTAGGACGGGGGACAATGATGGCAGTCGGCTCCGAGCAGCGAAAGGGCGATGAAAATCCGTTCCTCCTTCACTGGTCGCTACAGCAGCGAATACCTTGACACCATCTGCATCGGGAACAGAAGAAGCTGCTTCTCCGCTGAATCCATCAAATCATAGATGCTGCTCAACTTACAGACGCAGAATTTCCCACCGAGTCCTGGAGCCATCGCTCGGAGGATTTGCTAAGTGGTGTTTCTGCTAGTGCTGTACTCCAGCATCTTCAGAATCGAGAAAGGTACCTAACGCCGGACACAGAAACCATTCGGGGATGAGTCCTTCTTCTCGCCATTCGTTTACAGTGTTGAGTGTTGCTTCCCAGAGCCAAAGAATTCTGGACCGCAGAGATACTTTGTCAAGGCTAAGTGTTGGGCATCTCAAAAGAAGAAGGAGAGCTAAGTGTGTGCTACAGTGCTAAAAGAAAAGCATGTGCTCGAAGTGATGTCTGCATATTGCAGTTGCACTGCAGCATTGCATGCTCCTTCCACCACATAATGCATTGCTGCTGACCATCAACTATTGTGAGATGAAAGGTCAATACCTGGCATATGCAACCTAGCAACAACAGCAATGGGGCACAAGGGCCAAGGAACGTAGTTGCGAAAACCCTTATCAACCACCTGGGCATACTGACACTGGCAACATTGATTTGCCTTTGTACTGGGAAATCCCGCCTTCCCTATCCCATATCACAGAGAAGGTGCTTCTAACAGAGGTAATAGCAATAGAGTGCCATACCCAACAGCAGATTGGCAGCGGCATATGGCATAGGCTGAGAAGCAAGACCCTGACTGCTTCGCGGTTTTACCTCATCCCTCACCCGAGTGAGATCACATCAGCGTTTCTTCCGTCATTGCTCCAGGCAACCAGTTTCTCATGTGCTTCCGCTATTCGTCAGGGCCAGCACCGTATAGAGTTGTTCTATTTTTGTTGTATTTATCATTTTACTAGGGCCATCCCTGCAGACAATGCGCCTTTTTACAGGGTGCTCGAGGTAAGTGGGAAATGGCGTATTGCAAAGAGGTTACGTAGAAGGTTGTTATAACATAACAGCCTTCTACGCAGCCTCTGCGGCATGACGAAGGAGGCTGCCTAGCAGCACCCCGATGGAAGAAAACTCCAGCTATCACTGATATCAGAGACCAGGTACCTGTATGTTTTGCAAAGAGAAGCCATGTCGTGAAGAAGCATTAGGTAGGGCTAAAGCGAGGGTGTACTATCCCCTCAGCAGGCCTGGTCAAGGCTTCCGTAGCCAGCGTTGGGTGAATATTTTGACCTAAAAACAAAGTAAAATCTGCAAAGAGGGGGCTGAGGCGCTATGGCATGGCAAACAATAATTACTATAAAGTTCTAACGGATGGCGACGGGAATATTTTGTGGCGGTGACAAATGGTGGCTGCTGGGTAGCCAAATGTTATCTTGAGACTCCGCTTGATACGTCGCATGACTGTGTTGTCCAAGGTTACTGATATGATGCCTTGTCTTTGACTCGGGATACCAGCAGAACTCCAAACATGCGACTGTTAGTCATTTCGCTCAATTTTGCTACTTTATTCTTGCAGTCACCCAGATTGCATTGAATACTGTCGAATGCTTCCTCCAGCGTAGGGACAGTATGCCTAGGATAGCACTAGGTATGAGTCGTATGTCTTCAGGCTGCTCCCGTGCAGTAGCTCACGACACGAGGTAGAGCAACGCCGGTTAGCATCAGCCGCTGTTGTCTTGGCGGACCAGATTGAAAACTCCAGATACAAAATGTTTTACCAGTCTTGCTCTGGCGATTTTCTCCCCTTGTAGATCTACATAATCTTCTGGCAAGAAAAGGTCAGATCACACCACTGTAGTGTCACTTTCTTTTACTCTCCTTCCCTTTCCTCCCGTCGCAACAGTCCATTTCCTTCACAGTTCAGGATGATGGAAATTTATGGAAAAGACGAATACCATTTGCTGGGGCTGGGGAGTAACGCCGGTCACCAGTACATCCTGGAACACAGCAATGGTCGTGGTTGGTCGGTATCCGAAAACAAGACAGCGAAAAATCACTCCAGCCGCTATATTAAAAGCAAACAAAACTGTTTCTTCTATCCAGATTTACAGCTTTAGTTTCAACGCCGAAGGAAGTGCTAAAACTAGTAACGGTGGAACTGCATGCATTCCATTCATGCACGTGCAGCACCTGATCGCGTAAGCGCGCAACAAGCCTAAAATCCGTGTACTTTGCACATCCCGTGCACTTGACAAGCTAAGCCTGGGCGCATCAATCGCATGCCCTCTCAACTTTTCGAGCGCTTATTTGGCATATCATCTATCAGTAATAGAGAGGTTTCGACCCGCGTGATTTGTGCTCTTACGTGAACGTCAATTTTTTGCGTCGACGCGAGCTCAGAAAGAGCTTTCGTTTCACGTTGCTTGTGAAGCACGTCGTTTCGCTGACGACAGGAGCGAAAACTGGGGGCGAAAACTTCAAAAAGTGAAAAAAGTGATTTTTGGTGAGGCCAAAGTCGCACAAATATTATTTATAGCTAGTTTAGGCAAAATCGACAAATCGAGTCAATAATCCCAACCTGATAGCAAGGCTAAATTTGCAAAAACTCGCGTCACGTCGAACGTGAGTTGACCTCAGCTCACGTCATGAACGGGAGTTTCGACGCCAAAATTTGCCACACCGACGTGAAATTTCACGGTGTAGTGCAGAACAACGTGAAGCGAAACCTCTCTAATCTGTCCCTTTGGGAAAACGCGGCCAATAATTCAAAATTCCGCGGAAAATTCCGCGGGGAAAAGGGGGGTTTTCTGCGGCACTTTCTGTGGTAAAATCAAAAATCTGCGGCACTTTCTCTGCAAGTTTTCACCCTCCTTGTAGAGGATGACAACTAGTTGCATGAAGGAGCACTTTTCACACTATCCTTTGCAGTCACAAACTGACATGAGAGTGAAGAATTTTGGAGATCCTGCACTCACCCACACTGGCAAGAGCATAATGTGCTCCAACAGATCGCGAAGTAGTTTTTCTGCTGCTTTCTGAGTAGTAATTTTACTAATTTACCCTAAAAATTCAAATTCCGCGGGCAAAAGTGTAGATTCCGTGATTTCCGCGGATGATAGCAATTATTATTTCTGCGAAATTTGCCGCGACCGCGGAATCGCGTTTTTCCAAGGGGATACTAGTACAGTGTAGTAGTAGACTAATATAAAAAGCTGCTTTCAACTCCCTGGTGAGTGACTTCCAGTGCACTAGCCAACATTGATCCCGATGCCTGCGTGGAAATGTAAGTGAAGGGATTCTGGACCGATAGCCGTTAAGCTATCGTGCCAAGTCCCTCCGGTCCTTTACGGAAGGTTTGAAGGCGAGCATACTGTGAACATGTCATCGAAGGCGAGCATACTGCCAACATGTCATTGAAGGCGAGCATACTGCCAACATGTCATTGAAGGCGAGCATACTGCGAACATGTCATCGAAGGCGAGCATACTGCGAACATGTCATCGAAGGCGAGCATACTGCCAACATGTCATCGAAGGCGAGCATACTGCGAACATGTCATTGAAGGCGAGCATACTGCGAACATGTCATCGAAGGCGAGCATACTGCCAACATGTCATCGAAGGCGAGCATACTGCCAACATGTCATTGAAGGCGAGCATACTGCGAACATGTCATCGAAGGCGAGCATACTGCGAACATGTCATCGAAGGCGAGCATACTGCCAACATGTCATCGAAGGCGAGCATACTGCCAACATGTCATCGAAGGCGAGCATACTGCGAACATGTCATCGAAGGCGAGCATACTGCGAACATGTCATCGAAGGCGAGCATACTGCGAACATGTCATCGAAGGCGAGCATACTGCGAACATGTCATCGAACGCGAGCATACTGCAAACATGTCATCGAAGGCGAGCATACTGCGAACATGTCTTCGAAGGCGAGCATGGCTCCTTCATACCGCTGGTGATCTGCGGCTGTGACAGCATGGGCCTAGAAGCAGCGTGAGCCGCAGTTATTAAAAGGTTGGCGAACGGCAAGTTGGCCACCAAAAGACCCCCCCCCCCACAACCTCCTTCATACACACACCGAGAAAAGAAACCGGAACTTTGGACACGAGCTCAAAAGTATACAGCAGTGCTTCCTACCCACAAGTCCCAGTATTGAAACTCTGCGTACGCTTTCCTCGCCATCACCAATACATGGCTGAGGGTAGTTGACCAAAAAAGTGATTGCATCCAAAGCATGGTCAGTCGCACTCTCTGCGGCCCTGGTTAACCGCAGGGCACATACACACTCGCGCACGCGCACACACCACACACGCACACACACCTGGTGTACAGCTGCCAAATGCTTGGCCAGGGGGAGAGTAGAAGAGAGAGAGTTCGAGAGAAGACACACACACACACACACACACACACACACACCACACACACACACACACACACACACACATGCCCCCCCCCCCCCCACACACACACAAACACGCACGCACAAACACACACACACACACACATTCGACTCCATGGCTAGCTGTGGCTGGCAGACAACGATACTGGATAAACGGAATACAGACTAGCAGTGAATGAAGAGGACCTATGCTCCTCGTAGCACATACGCTAACACTCCCAGGAAAGGTCAGCAGCAGACAGGAAAGTGCAGTGAGCAAGGGTAATACCTTGTTTCAAATACCAACAAAACATTGAAATAAATACTACGACGAGCATAGACAACCAAAGTTACAAAGAACAACAGTACTAGTGAATATGAAGAACATGTCGCCACTAGCTAAAGGATCTGTTACGGGTGGTAGTTTGGGCAGAGCATAGTACGACACGTGCACGCATACAGACATACACACAGAGCTTAGTATCCGTTACGCAACCCGTGAGAAAGTCCATGCCACCCACCAGGCCATTACGAGGCTAGAACCAGCCACGGTGGCAATCCTCTCCTGCGTCTTGTCAATTGTTATTTGAGGATAAGACAGCACTAACAGGAATCAGCACCACCAGGTTGAAGATGAATCTGGCGGCGATCACAAGGCGAGCACGCTGGGCTAAACTGTAAACGATGATCACGAGTGCGGGGTCTAATCTACACGCAAGCACTTAGACAAGGTTAAACTAAACACGATCACATAAACAAGGAGAGACAGGGCTTCAGGAGAGACAGGGCTGTGTATGTGTAGAGATGGCGCAGAGCACACTGCATGTAGGGGCTAAGGTAAACACAAGCAGCACACTTAGACGAGGTTGAGAAGCGACAGAGCCGTGTAGATGGTGAGGCCGATGTTGCCAAAGAAACCGATGTACATGAAGCCGCCGAATCTACGCTTGTCAGGATCTGGGCACACACACACACACACAAGCAACAGACTTGTAGAAACAGCAATGATGCACACATCTTAGGATTTCGACATGTTCCACTGTCCAAGCAGCTCAATCCATCAGCATTCGGCCAAAGGCCGGAGATTGGCACCCACCGGGCTAGCATCAAGCAGCCAAAGGTGGGGCCGTACCAAAAACTGCCAGAGAAGACATCGTTGCATTCTAGCATGGATTCTGACTTACAGGCGTTCAGGTGACGTCTTTCTTTACTTTTGCTCTCTTTGCTGTCTTACTATCTACTTTTTTTGTGCAGCAGCAGCCACGGCAACGAAATCTATGCAGCAGAAGAGTCGAGCAATGTGACCCATGTCTACAGGTCAGCATTCCATATCAACAATGCCTTTGCGAAATTTACCCCCGGAACCCCCCCCCTGGATACGCACGCCTCTGGTTGGCATAGCATAATGAAACCGCAATTGCAGTCCAGGGCACAGACTCGCGTAACTGCACAAATATGCCACCAGTTGGTGTAGGCATGCAACCACACTACATACTGTAGAGTCGCGTATAACAGCATGACCCGTATAACAGCATGACCCGTATAGAAGCATGACTCGAGTAGAAGCCGATTTTTGAAGAGCGCCGTGACACAGAAGCACGATTTGAATAGAAGCATACGTGCAAGTACATGTATGTGTACACTACATGCATGACAATGTGCACTGTACAGTGTAGACTGAAGATTTTGACGTAGAAGCAAAACTTGAATAGAAGCATGGTTTGAAAACCGGCTTATACGGCCGTAAGCACCTGCTTTTATACGCGGCATTACGGTAAGATAAAAGGTCTTTTAGTGGAATCTAGTGAAGAACCGACTGCCCATTTCCACAGTACAGAAACAACACTGGGAGTGCTGGCCTCACCTCCAGTGTAGTATCCATGGGAATACACTAGACGACCAAGCAAGTAGATCAGGTTGAAGGCTGTGGCCTTCAGCTACGTCAGGAGCAATCCGACACACAGAAAGTGGAAGAACAAAACAGGAACAAAATCAAATAGTTATTGGCGGGACGACTGTGCAAAACAGCACAATAGAAGCAGACTGATCATAATCAATTGCATCTACGATACGCTAACTCTTCCAAACTCTGTCCCTCCCCCTCGCCCAAACACACAGACGCACACAGACCCGCGCACGCACACACACACACCCTCTCTCTCTCTCTCTCTCTCTCTCTCTCTCTCTCTCTCTCTCTCTCTCTCTCTCTCCCTCTCTCAGCAACGGAACAGCAGGCTTACCGGATGAGAAACACCACCAATCAGGCCCGTCGTCAGGAACAGAGGCAAACCTTCCAAGCTGAAACAACACGGCAAGCAAGCAGACACATACCGCACTTTCACGACGGACGCCAGAGTACTACACGGCTGCTCAATGAAATCCGATCGCGTCACTCAAGTAAGCGCCGGGCGTTGTGCAGCCCTAGACCTGCGAACAATGGGCTGCGAAATGATGCAAGGCGCACACTTGAGCGATGCAACTAGATTTCATTGAGCAGAACTGTAGTATTTTCCTCTTCATTCTAAGTACAAAAATCGCAAGCCTCCCACAGACCATGGCAAGCTGCAGCATGTTAGTAAAAAACCCTAGAGGGTTTCTAAGAAGAACTTGAACCCAGTAGTCTCGACCTCGGTTTCCTGGCCCGTGTATCGAGCAATCTCATAGTCTCGGGGTGCTCGTGCTCCTTTCCGGTTTTGCCAGACGAAAACACAGGTCATTGACTGAAAACAAGTAGTCTGGTCAAAAGACAGCGACGTAACGGTGATCGCGTCGATGTTTCTCAGATCGCGTCGATATTTCTCAGATCGCGCTTGGTCTTTACACGTACATCGAGGTTGCAAGTGTAC